AATTTCTAATTCTTCTTACCTTTTTTAATTATATTTTGAATTAAAAAAATAAAACTAAAAAATGTATCACGTTGCTCAAAATCTACATGTATATGTATTGCATCTGTATCGCTAAGGTGGGAGCCTGGAGATTTGTCACACAGGTTTCGAACCTACTACAAACTCCAGCTCTCACTAAGGTGTCATGTATGTTATTTTTATTATAGTAGCATAACAAACCTATGTACCTATTTACCTTTTTGAGACAAATAAACCTTATTATTATTATTATTATTACCACCTATTCCTGTATTTATTACAGACATATTCCACACAATATATGTATACCAGACATGGAAATTAGTGCTACTTTTAAATCATATGATTGGCTTTAGTCATAGCGATTTCACATGTGATTGTGATTTGGCAATAGACAAAGATAAATGCCATTTAAATTAATCAAAATTCTTTAGGTTTTAAACCTTTCGTGAGTCTTACGTTAGCGTAATAATAATTATTATTAGCAGTGGTTTTGTAAATTAGACACAGGTGTGATTATGTGATTAAAAAATCATCTGATATCATTAGTTATTCCGTGCATTATTTGATGATAAGCGGTAATACAACTGGCCTATTGGTTTAGCGTTTGGTGACCCTCACTGCTGAGGATAAGCTGTGTGATGAGGATAAGCATTAGTTCTATGTCTGGGTGATATATATTTGTATATCAGTTTATCAGCAGCTAGTTAACATAGTACAGGTCCTGCCTAGTTTGGGACCAGACGTCCAACGACGAGATCATCTGTTGAGACCACTTCAACGCTATAATAAAATCTAACATTTATTTCTCTAACACAATAAACATAAATACTGTTTTTACAAATAGATGCGAAAAAAATGGAAACTCGAATTCTTCAAAAATGATTTGCTTTTACAGTTAAGGAAAATCTCCGAGATCTTACCTCTGCATACCCATGAGGAAAAGGTTTAGTCTAATGTTTACGTTTGGGATATTCAAAGAGAATATTTAAAAATGAAAGAAAAAATATTTCGGCCGTGTGGTGACGTATTAAGAATACAGAGTGTCACCACCCCTAGTCATCCCGTGGGTGTCGTAAGAGCCGACTAAGGGAACAAACTATGCAGGACAACAGCACTGCAAAGAGAAGGAAAGCTTGAAACAAACTGACAACCCGTCTAACCAGCGTGGTATAGTAGAGCTGAACCCACCTTTCTAAGGAGGGGCCTATGTCCAGCAGTGGGCTATTAAAGGCTGTTGATGTGCATGTGTGGTTTTTTTTTCGGATTTCCGACATCTAACACACAAGGCCATCTTGTTTCAAACTAAGCAGAGCTTGTACCATGAAAGCTAGATTGACTGATAGAATATTTAAACACTTTTATTGTGTATATACATATATATTATACGTAGAAAACACGCAAACTTCATAAGAAATATTTGCAGATAATACAAACATTTGGTCCGACCCGGGAATCGAACCCTAGACGTCAGCACAGCAGTGGCATACGCTTCCACTGCACGACCAAGACAGTTTTTATAGTACACAAACGGGTCACCCCATGGTGCTACTCAAGAGACACAAAGCGTTGTTGCTCTTTGAATTGGACTGCACGGATGGCGAAGTGGTTTAAGCGGTCACCACGCCGCTTCCTACTACGCCGAGTCTTGTGGGTTCAAACCCCACATGGGACGACACTTTGTGTGATCCACAAATTGTTGTTCTGAGTCTGGGTGTTCTTTGTGTCCGTTTCATGTATGTTTGTAAAGTCCCCCGCGACACAGGATTTATTCCTAATGCGGGAGTTGTCTTGTTTAATAAAAAAAAAAAAAATTGGAGTCGGTTGGTCTAGTAGTTTGTGGTCAGTAGTCAGAGCCGGCGATCGTGGGTTCTATTCCCACCCAGGCCAAGTAATTGTTTGATAAGCAAGATTATTATGTGTCTGGGTGTAAGTCCGAAGTATTATAATAATTATAGTACAGACTCTGCCTAGTTTGGAATCAGACGGCTGTGTGTGAGATGTGTGAAGTTATTATATTAGAAGTTAAAATATTTCCCCTCCCCCAGAATGTGGGGAGGGGAAATATAAATCATATCATTACACCTGTGACAGGTTTACAAAACCACTGCGACTTAATTATTATTATTACGCTAGCGCAAAACTCGCGAAAGGTCTAAATCTAAAAAAAGGTTGTAATATTCGATAAAAAGAATTTTGATTGATTTTAATGCCATTTATGTTCGTCTATGACGAAATCACAATCACATCTGAAATCGCTGTGGCTAAAACCAATCATTTCATCAATTAAATATATTATTTAAAGGTAGCAATAATTTCCATGTCTAGTTCGATCCTCACACACTTTGTGTGATCCACAAATTGTTGTTGTCTGTAAAGTCCCCCGCGATATATTCCTAACGCGGGAGTTGTCACCAGGTGATGTCGGCCCATTTGTGCTTGTGTAAGTAGGGTTCCAATAATAAGAACTAATAACAAGGTACGTGAAAATTAAAAAGTTACAAAATAACACCTTCACATTTTTAATATTGTAGTATTCTAAAATTGACTTTGTACTGTCCGCAGAAGAGCTATTTAGGATTGAACTTCTTATAGACACCTAAGCCTTTAAAGCAGTTTAAAACAAAATAATATAGATGACTCAGTCATAATATTTTTATAATCAAACCTTTTGGGTATCACACCCTTTTTGAAGGTGTTTTAATTTGATCCTAAGCCAACAGTGAACCACCAGAAAAATTACTGAAATTGTAATCGATTATTGGATGAGTGGGATTAATATTCATTTCAATTTTACATTTAAATTAAAGATAGATAAGGTGGAAAAAAGTGGTGGGTGGTTTTCCTACAGCGAATAGAAAAATGCATGCAATTCATACGCTGAACCTGAATAATAATAATAAATTCACACATCCCACATACGGCCGTCAGATCCCATACTAGGCAGAGCCTGTGCTACGGCAACCAGACTGCTGATAAACATACTTATATATTTCTAAATATAATGTTAAAATTTCACCCAGACACAGAACAAATGATCGTGCTCATCGCACAATTATTTGCCCTGAGTGGGAATGGAACCCACGACCTCTGACTTAGCAGAATAGACTCGGAAAAGGCTACGATTTGAAATTTATCGGTTGTCAAGACATGGATCTCGTTTCACCACACTTAGCAGCCACCCCGCGTGTCTAACTCAAAAGGTGTACCTTTAATATTGTGAAGAACATAAGGCTTTTCGTATTACGAAAAAAAGGGTGAGAAGAGGGTAGTATCCAATATCTAGTGTTGTTTTTTTAGGACAAAACCATTCACCATTTATGTTGTGTGTTTAACTTCGGGTTATACTGATAATCTTGATTTTGAAGAGTTTTGTTTGGTTTGCAGTATCTTGTTTAATAATATATTTATTAGCATATTTTTTGGCATTAAGGGAGCCTATTTGTTTGTTGCCTGTATAATGGGTAGATACATAATGTAAACAGACAAATTAACTTGAAAAAAACTTGTTTATTATTACGGACCAGTAGCGCATCCGACTCCAATAACTCCAAAAGGATATCTATACATCTATACAAATAAATAAAATTGGAGTGTCTGTTTGTAATATTAAAATAACCGCTTTTTACTAAATGTATATGTATGTTTACACGGTACATATACCAAATAACATTTTTTACAATTTTTGTCTGTCTGTCTGTCTGTCTGTCTGTTTGTTCCGGGTAATCTCTGGAACGGCTATACCGATTTCGACGGGACTTTCACTGGCAGAGAGCTGATGACATAAGGAGTGACTTAGGCTGCTTTTTTTAGACTAGCTTCGCCCCGCGGCGTTGCCCGTGGTTATAACAACAAACGCGGGTAACACCGCGGGTCTCAGCTGGTATATTATAATTCTTATTTTCTTAACCAAACACTCTGAATGTTCTTTTTTATTCATCTCATTTACGCCAAGGGTTTATTTCAGATCTAATTTTCGGTAGAAGTCCCAAACTAATATAAAACGTGTAAGTACCTATACTATTTTCGGAATCACATAATTTCACCGATCACATAGCTAGATGAGTACCTATGCAGGTCCTACCTAATAATCATCCCCAATTTATACGCATGAAATCTTTGACTTTTCTATCCATAGAAAAAAAACTTTGAACAAAAAGAGGTTTAGATCACTTGTCTAATGAGGAAGGAAGGGACAATACGTTCTACTTAGAACCAACCAACACAGAAGTATAAATCTTTATTCTTGACGAGATTTTTACTTGTCGGAAAAAATATATTGCATTTTATTGTAATAGTTTATTGCTTGGGGTTATGGTATTTATGCATAATTTTTCCATCGAATAATATCTACAAATAATGGTCGGGAATTTATTATGTACACCGATTAGAAAGTAATTTGATGTTATGCTACTTTTGGAACCAAAACTGTAACGTCCTTCATTCTTGCTGCTTCTTTATAAGTCACAAATCCAGCTTTCTATAAAATACTAGCTTTTAGCCACGGCTACGCTCGTTTTAATGTCGATTTTGCCAATCGATATCTGTGGGATAAAACGTAGGCCATGTGTCCAAGTCCTAAATTACGTCCGCGTACATTTGTCGGGATAAGTAAAAGAAGTTACCCATAGGCGAATGCGTTGTTTTTTCTCTTTTACTTTGTTAGTTTAACTTAAAGTTACTATTTTGATAAAGAAAGAACTGTGCACAGAACAGAAATAGCAATACAAATTCTTACATTTCAGGCAAATTGTTTTGTTTGAATTAATTTCTATATTTCCGACAAAAATACTAAATAAATGTACTTGATATTTTTACTAAAAATATTTTATTTAGTAAGATACTAAGCCCTGATCGTATTTACATATTCTTGACTTGTTTTTATTTTATTTTTGTATAAATTTAAAACTTTGACAAGGAGTTGACCTTTCATGCACATTTGACCAAACAAAGTTATGATAAAATGTTATTCTTGTTCCAGAATGCTGTACACACCTCTCCCAGTATTTATACTCATGGTCGGCGTGGTCCTGTGCGCGCCTGAACGGATGCAAAGTAATCCAGATCCGCATGGACAACCCCCGACCGGCCAAGATCCCCATGATGTCCACGTCTCACCTCTAGAGAAGAGATCCCCGCAATATGACTTTGGTTTGGGCAAGAGAGCCTATAGCTACGTATCTGAATACAAACGGCTACCCGTCTACAATTTTGGATTGGGTAAACGGTAAGTCAGGGTTATTATTAAAGACTAGTAAGTAATTTTTAAACTTTCGCGTTCCATGATAATTAATATTATTTAACGGGAATTAACGCGATCTCTTATTTAGGGTATTACATACCTCTGGTTTGCCTGACGTTTCGACCAGGTTGCAGCGGCCGTGGTCACAGGCTGACTGGCTCATCGGCGCACGCCCTCCATCGTCGAATCCGTGAAGTAGAAGGCTCTTCATCTACCCGCACATTTTCGATATTGTTTTTGTGTCGCCATGTACCGTCACATACCACACTAACAGTGTCCCTATTCTGTAAGACCAGAGGTATGTAATACCCTAAATAAGAGATCGCGTTAATTCCCGTTAAATAATATTAATTAGTAAGTAATTTATTGTATTTCGATTGTAGATTTATAACAAAACTAGCGGACCTGACAGACGTCCTATTCACACGTCTTAACTATAAACACATTTTGGAGTGGACCGAATTGTGAATCTAAACCATTATCGAATCCACTTGAACACACACAAAAAAAATCATCCGTTCAGCCAATCAGCCGTTTAGGAGGAGTTTAGTCACATACACACGCAGAAGAAGTACATACATAAAGATATCGTGTCGCTTGGTTTCACTGTAGAGCAGCAATGCTTTTGCACATTTATTTTTTATTTTTTATACATCACACACTTTTGGTGCATCGGCGGACTTAATGCTTAAGGCATTCTCTATCAGTACCTTACCTACCACATTAGGGTTATTCAGAGAAAACAGGAAGTATGTAAGTGCAGTGGGGTAACGTTACAAGTGGGATGCCTCGATCGGAGTGATACCCGGCCACAAAAAAGACCGGTGTTAAGCAGTTCTTTAAAAATCTAAACCATCTTCCTCCTTATTGTGACTCTTAACGACGCACTTACAGGGGCTAGTCTCTTACCATCAGCTTGCTCGTTTCCCTCCGGCCCCCCCTCTCCGCCACCCGCTATACAATAAATAAGTCGTGTGTAATATCCGATATCTAACAACACAGTAGCTCATTGGCCCAATTGAATAACGCGCCAATGAAATAAAAATTCCCTGTTTCCTGTAATGCAATGTTGTCCCTTTTCACGAAATTACTCACAAATTACGGGAAAGTGATACGGAACAGAGAGAGAAGAGAGTAGTTTTTTTTTTAATTAATTTACCAAATGAAAAACTACAATTATAAGAATATTAATTATCGCCAACTGTTTACCAGTTTGTCAGAAATAAACGGTTAAATAGACCGAGCTGATACTTACATTTTTATTTTGTAATCATCGAATAAGAAAGGATTTTTGAATATTTCAACCCTATATAAAATAAGGGATGAACGGTTGTATGTAAGTTATAGAAAAAAGGAACAATCAGCTGTGGGCAATAGCTTCGTTACTTTAATATTCCAGTAAATATTCATTTAGTTGTAACTCGCATTCTGTTAAGTTGTTAAAGTTCGGTGGTGTCTTGTCTTTTCTCATAATAATTCTTCATTGTCACTGTTAGATCTTTTAAATAATCTCTAAAGTGCTATATTTACGCTATTCAAACTTTAACTAATAAATTACATCTCGTTCTTAGGTCCAGGCCCTATTCTTTCGGCCTTGGCAAACGCTCAGCTGACGACTACCAAACTGTAGAAGATCTGCCCAACGACAGCGAGCAGCTCGCTTTGGCGGAACTCTTCGACCAATATGATGATGCAGGTTTGTTACATGTGTATTCAAAAATATTTGTTATTTAGGAAAATACTTTTACTGGTGTAAGTGTACAATTCTATACGTCATCATCATCATCAGCCTATCGCAGTCCACTGCTGGCCTCTCCTATTGCACGCTACTTAGACCATGTGATGATGATGTGTCATTAAACAATGTGCTGTAAATTGACATACTAATTTCATTACAGTACAGTACTGTTTCATGCTATTCTACCTATAATCATCATCATCAACAGCCTTTCATAGTCAGTGGACTATGGAAATAAGCCTAAAAGGCTATACCAAACCGGTTGGTATAGGGTTTGTGTCAAGTTTCCTTCCTTCTTTTCTTTTTGGAATCCTTCTTCTTGGAATATCATACTTTGATACAAATACTTTTTCTTTCCCACATATACATTATTAAAAAAAAACGAAACTTCTTTATTTACATGTTACAGGAAACCTGTAAATTACGATCTTAAGGTTCATCATTTGACCTTTAATGGTGTGGACCATTAAATTATGGCCATAGGCCTCTATCTAAATATATAGCTATATCTAAAAATGTTAAGTTAAAAGAACTCAAAAACTTCTATGACATTATTAACCCCCACTTCCCCCCTCCCCAAGTTTCTTTTATTTATTTTATGTGACAGTTTTATTCCTCATTTCTCATGCAATACAATGCAACCACAATATGGGTATAGCTAGTATAATAATAATGACCTCAGCCATCTCACACACGGCAGTCTGATCTCAAACTAGGCAGATCCTGTACTATGGTAACCAGATTGATGATAAACATATTTACCTATATACATATTTCCAAATTCATGCATATTATAGATAAATTACACTAAGACACAGAACAAATTGTCCGTGGTGTCAATGGAACCATAGATCACTACATATATAATTTTATTCTTTGTCCTTAGGTACTCAAGAGAAGCGTGCTCGGCCCTACAGCTTTGGTCTCGGCAAACGCTTCGCTGACGATGAAACTTCTGAAGAGAAGCGAGCCAGGATGTACGATTTCGGACTTGGAAAACGCTTACCAATGTATAGCTTCGGTTTAGGCAAGAGGGCTAAGAGCTACAACTTCGGGCTAGGTAAACGATTAAGCAGCAAATTCAATTTCGGCCTTGGAAAACGGCAAAGGGATTTGCACCGTTTCAGTTTCGGCCTAGGAAAACGATCGGCCGAAGATACGGTACCCGAAGACGGCAACAATTACTTTGATGATTAAATACTTTTGTTATTTTCTAGTTAAGTGATGCCGCCATTGAGAATTTACGTGGAAAATATTATTATTATTTAATCAGATTATAATTTAAGTATAATATTTTTTTGTTCAAGAATAATAAAGTGGATACATAGTTCAATACCATTTCTAAATTTCTTGTGAAATATCCAGCCAATTTTCACAAGTAATAGTTGGATTTAATTTAAATTTTAATTAATTGACAAAGCACAAATAATAAATGAAAAGTATTAAATAATATTTATGTTGAGATTTCCACGCAAGTTTTCATACCAAACAGTTAATTAATAAATATAAGATTTGGACTGCATAATTCATTAAATTAAACATTTTGAGCGTTTAAAGTATAAAATTGAATTATAACTTATAATTTGAATGTTGAATGTTATAAATATGTATACTTTATATTGTATAATCTGATTGCTCTATAATTATTAATGTTATTTATTTAATTGTCTAACAATCTGTTAATATAATATAAATGTGGAATGGTTTTGTAAATTATTGTTATAAAATATGTAGTTATTAATTAAAGTGAATTAAAATCATTGTAATTCTAGTCAACGTGGAGTCGCGATATTTGGAGTAAGTCATTACAATAAGCTTATAACCAAAATTTTGTTGTTCAATAAATTATGACGTGAAAATATGTATTTTCATTTACTGAAGAAAAATCTTGGAATTCGGTGTAATGATTTAATAACTAGTTACTTAAAGAATTACTTAAATCCTTAAGGATTCATTTTTCATCGTAATCTTTTATACTTTGTATGTCTTTAGAAGTACATATTCTACAAGATAGCTAAAAGCTTAAAATATTAATCAAAATATATATATTACAGATATTTGACTATTGATATATACCTACTGACATGATTCAAAAAACGCATCGGTTTGACAAAAAGACGTTTTCATATTTGGATTCTTGCTGTTGTTTAATCGTTTAAACGATTTTTATATTTGTTGCCAATTAAATTTTAATTTACTGTAATGAAGACCGGAAGATGTCAATTTTTTAAAGTAATTACTCCCAACAGTCAATGACACTGACATTTACTGTTATGACAGCTTTGACAGTTTGGAATGACAGTTCTCCGTAACACGCAAGAATCACGGTATCGAACACTTTTAAATTTTATTTTTTAATTAAAACTTTTCTACCAATGACTTAACCTCCTCAAAATCGTTACTCTACAGAGCATTTAATTAAAGTTAGTTAATTGTATTATCTAAGACATAAAATGTTGTTTTAAATATAACTATTGTGGATTACACAAGTCAAAATTATTATACTAATAAGAGTGATATTGCAATAGCTACTGTTTATTTATTTATCAACACCGTTTGACACCGTTTACTTTTTCTTAATTTTGTACCGTTTTGTTTCTTATGGCAAAGGATGGCAAACGAGCAAAAGGGTCACCTGCTGGTAGGTGACTACCACCGCCAATGGACACCGCAAGGGTCAAAAGTGCGTTTGCCCACCGTTGAGTTCTGCCCCCTCCCCAAATCAGAGGGGGGAGGTTGGACTCTCCCCTTTGATTTGGGGAGGGGGGAGAACCCAAATAAAAGAATTACTTAACAGCATTTATGTGAGGCCGTGGTATCGGTCGGTCCATTTGGGGGCATAGGAGCATGTGGTGCTATTGCGGGCCATGATATTTCAGGTATCCCCTTGGATCGACGCTTTATCGATGGACTATACTGCATAGTAATACGTAAGTCACGGTACAATTATGATGAATAAAGAAATACATTTTGTATCAGTCTCAGATATACCTTCATACATATATATATATATATATATATATATATATATATATATATATATATATATATATATATATATATATATATATATATATATATATATATTCCGGTACTTAGGCCATACTGAACGTTTCTGGATTCTCATAAATAAGACTTACGATACATTTCTTGTTTGTCTAAGCATATTCCCTCGCAATTAATGCATTTTTGCATTCGCTGAAACCATTGTACAAAGCAGTTGGACCAGTCTTCCTTAGGGACCTCTTCAATGGCTTCATGGAACGCATTCACCGCGATTCAGGGCTCATAAAACAAAAAGAAGTCACAGGGTGCGAGGTCGGATGTGTCATCAGTTCCACATTTGAAGCCTTCAAATAGGCTTCTGTTACCTTAGCGGAATGTGAGGATGCGTTATCGTGGTGAAGGAGGAAATTGCTTCGAGGACGCTTTTCGCGAACTTTTTCTAAGACTTTGGGTTAGCAAGTGTTGACGTATCAATCTGCGATCCGGAAGAAATGATAGGTTCTTTTCTTACATACACATTATGAAAAAAAAGAAACAAAATTATTTATTTACAGAGTACAGGTACATAGTACATACGAACGATTTTAAAGTTCACCATCATGAACATCAGCCTTTAGTGGTCCACTGCTGGCCATAGGCATCTCCTTAGAAAGGACGTTTTGGCCTACTATACCGCGCTGGCCAGACGGGTCGGAATACGCCGCCTAAGTAAATAATAAATATATTCTATCTATATATTTACTATGTACTCTTGAATTATTGAATGAATGAATAATAATGTACTGATGATGATGTATTGAATGAATGAATTTCCCATAAGGCGTTTGGTCCCAAACTAGGAAGAACCAGACTTCAGATGAATATACTTAAATTTGTATTTCTAAGTACAACCAGATTTAGTAACAATGATCGTGCTCATCATCCCTAAATTGTCCTGGTTAAGAAGCAAACCCACGACATCTGGATTTTCTGTAAGGGTCACCAACGATTAGTTCAGACCCATGATGTCTTTTTTTTTTAGTGTATAAGGGGGCAAACGAGCAGACGGGTCATCTGATGGTAAGCAAGCAACACCGCCCATGGACACCTGCAACTCAAAAGTTACAAGTGGGTTGCTGCCCTTGTAGTCCCTCCTGCTCGAGTCAGCGGGAGGGGGTATTTGGGCTCCAGTAACCTCACTCACTCAGTGAAAGGCAACAAAAGAATTGCTTAACACCGGTTTTCTGTGATTCAGTAGTATCACTCCGGTCGAACCGGCTCATTCGTGCCGAAGCATGGCTCTCCCACATTTACAAATATCATTATAATATCAACACCATCTAGTTTCAAACTAAGCAGAGCTTGTACTATGAAAGCTAGGTTGATTGATAGAATACTTATATACCTACTTCTTTTTTGTAAATACATACATATTATACATAGAAAACTCCGAAACAAATATTTGCAAATAATAAAAACATTTGGTCTGACTCGGGAATCGAACCCGAGAGCTCAACACAGCATCACCACGAAGGCAATCATACAATAGGTCATTTATACATCATTAGAATATTACTATAATATTCAGAAGTAATAAAGGCTTAAGAGAACACACATTGTGGAAAAAATCTGCGTAAGGTATCGTTGAACAATAGAAAGTTAACCCCTAATCGTTGAAAATCAACGGGCCCGCATTGTGAACGTGAGTGTTTGTTAGGCACTTTATCAGCAAAATTCTGGCGTAAGGGACTTATGTATACCGTACCCGCAGACGCACACAACTCAGACTTTTTAATTCAAGACAAGAACTTTGCTCGAATATGCCATTATATTGAAGTGAATTTCGCGGTATTGTTTCCAAAGTTTTTTTACAGTCTCAATAGAAATTATATGCTTGAATGGAAATGACTTGAGAGCAATGCAAAGGGGTCAAACTGGGAATGAATTTAAGAGGTCGGTTCTATCTGCATGGAGTGGCCAGCACGCTGCCCGGAGCTCAAGTCATATAATCATCACATCAACAGTATTTAATAGTCCACTGCTGGACATAGGTCTCTTCTTAGAAAGGAGCTTTTGGCCTACTATATCAGGCTGACCATATGGGCTGGTATAGAGTTTCTTTCAAGTTTTCATTCTTATTGCAGTGCTGTTGTCCTGTTATATAGTAATATAGTTTGTTCCCTTAGTCGCCTCTTACGATAGCCAAGAGATGAAAAGACGTGGTGATGACGGCGTGTCCTTAATCCGTCACCTCAAGGAGCTCAAGTCCTCAACCCGATTGAGCATGCTTGAATCAAAGCCGGATGATGCGTGAGACAACGAAACCCTCCCGGTTCATGCTTCGAGAACTCAAAAATTCTTTAATTAAGGAATAGAAGAATATTCCCTAACATTTTAAAGAAAAACTTGGTGTACAGCATTTTAAATAAGCATAGTAATGGAAGCACGTGGAAGTAGCATAAATTGTGAAAGTACAAAGTTAATTCATGTTACCACGCTAGTATTACTTCCAAGATATTTCAGAATCTTTGTATGAACCTGCTTTATTGCACTCCAGTGTAAATAGGGAAAACAAACTAGGTATTTTATTTTCTTTTCCTAGAGTTTTCCTAGAGTGGCTAGCGAAAACTTTTGGAAACAGATTTTTTTTCTTAGTATTCAGCGGAGTTTTATTGTCATGTCGCATTTTGTCATACATTATGTGATAACATAATGTACGACAAAATTACATTATCAAACATTTTGCCCATATGAACAGGTATTTTCTTGGTTATTTATTTATTTATTCATGCTATAATATGTAATATGTAATATTTTCTATCCCATCCACACCTACTGCGGACACTAAGTGGTTGGTGCCTGCGGCCTCACTATCAACAAAGACTGAGAGTAAGGGGGAGGGGGGGCAACCACCCGCATGTTTGTGCCGTGTGCGGGGACCCGTAAGGGAGGATGAAGGGATCCTGGTAGTTGAGCTGAAAGGCAACACACTGCTTTGGCCTGTATTTCTCTTTACACGGGAGGCTGAAGGCTAGCCACCTTTGGTCAATCGGCTGTAGTATCCCGTCAGAGGGCTGCTGGGCGAGAGCTCTTCCTTGGTGGGGGTGGACGACGGGTGGGACGACCAAGTCTTCCTACCTAGTTCGGCCTGCCTTCTGCCAGGGAGGGAGCTCTATCTTTCCTTGTCACTTCTGGCGTCGTGTGCCTTCTGC